CTTCATTTGGGAGGGGCCATCTTGCATGGCTTTATCGTTGAGCACTGCCTTCTCTTCTGATCCATGCTTTACGGAGGGAGGGATGAGACCTTCAGGGTCTTGGATAGTCGTGCCACCTCGATGCATGGTGGACGACAAATGATGAGAAAAACGGGTGTGCAGTGATGAGCGGAAGACTTCGCTAAAGTCTGGCATAGCTTCATTTATGGTCAGAGGTCGGTCACCAATATAACGCGGTTGGAATGTAGCAGACAGATGAGCTTGAACAGTGGAAGCATTTGCGGACGTGCCAAGCTCTGTATACAGTGACTCATATCGGCGTGGCTTTCAATCCTTGCAGCTCGGATAGTGCGCCACCGATAGAGATGGGGCGACATGAAGGTACCAGAGCCATGCATGTTGTGAAGGCGGTCAAGCATGCCGTATGTGAATCCTAAAGGAACTTTAGTCTCAATGCAACAACTAAGGATGGACAAGGTAGCTTCGATGGAAGGCGTCCGGCGACTGGCATGTAATTCAAACACGCGATGCACTAAAGCTGCAATGACCGAATGAATGGTGCTTGTCCAGATGACAAAGGATGCGGCAAGGGACTGTCGATGCGCAGACTCGCGTCAGGTCCTCAAGCTCCAATTACGGGCGCTAACGTAACCCTGTGGGGTATCTGGCGGAGCTGTGTGCAGAACAGACAGTCGATTATACGTGTTGGGATAGTACGTAAGGCTCCCGTCCCGACGTGCGCGCGCTTACTGTGCCTCGGGAAATCGACAAGGGCTGATTCTAGAACGACCTTCGGCTAAGCGACCTATGCGATGCCGAATGAGTACATGAACATTGGTGGAAAATCTGCTGTGTCAAGGTTGTCAACGGCGCCCTGCAACAGTTATGACAGCCTCGTCTGATCCTTCGCTGACATAAAGACGAGTAAGGCGCAGGGCGTAAAGTCGGACAGCTGACCAACGTGGAAGGAATGGCTGCATCTAATGAGGCAGTCATAACCAACCGTTTCATTGCTGCTAAAGACATGCTGAAGCCTCCTCGAGTCCATACTGCAAGCGCAAAGATGTTTCGCTCGGAGTAGTGCGCGAAGGACGGAGTAGCTAGGCATCCGATGAAGAACCAAGCCTCGTCAGCCCTTCGCCATGCGATGCCGCGTTCAGCTTCGAACGGCTCCACACCGCACTAATTATTCGCACTGTCCAGGTCGCAGTAGGAAGAGCGGCAACGCGCTTGTCATCAAGCTCATCGATTGAGGGCGTCGACCCTCCTCTCGATTCCGAGACAATGTAGCCGTAGCCCTCTGCATAGCCGATGAACCAGCGGAGTTTATAGTCTTTGACTTCGGGTCCATCATCGCAGCTTCTTACAAGCAATTGGGTAGGCGGTAGGTTCACAGCGAGTGCAAACAGTTGCGCTGGTTCGGTATACGTGGGAGAACGCGTCGAGTTGCGCGGCGCGCGAATCGTTGTGCCGTGTGCTTTCGACGTCATCGATGACCGTAATAGTCGGAGATTATCGTCGCACTCGTGCGTACCTAAACGTGTCTTCGGCTGCTACGTTGGGGGTTGAGTGTGTTCTTCGCGGGGGATACGCGCCTCGCGGCTTGGGCATCGTAGCTGTAGATGGGGTCGGTACTTCTGACATTGCGGCGTTGGATGTCAGAGTGGAGATCACGTAGTTGTATGCGTGAAAGTAGAAGAGACAATTCGGCTCTCAGATCCTGTTGCAGGTGCTGCGATACATGTGCCGTTGTAGTTCAGCGTGTCGCGTTCCCTTGGCGTTCGTCATCGCGGAGCTAGCTTGAGCACGCGAAAAGGATCCGGTTAGCGCGTGCGACTAACGTGAAGAGGTCTCTTTAGCCGTTGAGCGTCGATCTCTCAATCAAGGAGCTATGAGTGCCATGTAGCCGTACAAGAGTGCGAATGAAGCGCATAGCAGAGAAGTGCTGGGATGCACATGCTTCTTCAGTCACAGTTCTCATTCCAGAGCTTGTCTTTACCAGGCCGCAAGCACAGCCACCGACACACTCATCTCCACCAGGCAAGACTCCGACACACTCATCTCCACCAGGCAAGACTCGGATTCGACCAACATCTGTAAGATTGCTTAATACATCCTTCCGCGAGGCTGCATAATACGACATCTAGCAGACCATTAGCTCATTATCAAGTAACGTGCAAGGCGTAGGTACCAACACTCAAGAGATGTGGAAGGAACGAGTGAGACCAATGAGCCAGCAATGGGCCAGCAATGGACACGTAAGCCGACTTATAGAGAACAGTTCCATTAGAGAGCAAACTGTACGCGTATCGTTTTCTGCTTGATGTGTGCTCGTTGTACTCACGTTCTTCACGAGTTCGTGCGGCCTACCCGACGCTTCAGCGAAGCTCGCTCAGCTTTGCCTTGAATTTTATACTAATATTAACTCTATCTCCTATCTGAATGCGGGTGCCATCTCTGCCTCCGGGTTCGTCTCGCTAGGGGCTGCTATGCTGCTACGGCCGCCCACACTACCACGGTCCTAGATGAATACTAACGGTCATTCACCATCCTAAAACTCATTGCTTGACTGCGAGCGCTAGGTTTACCATATACTGTTGCTACTGAAGGAGAACACCGCCTATTCTTCTCTTGTTGCCGCTTCTGTCCCCACTTGACAATATCGCGCAACTTTCTTGGCCTTTTGCTCTCGGCTCACCGCACAACCACGTTTTGGTGTACAACACTTGTTTGACACACAGAAATAACGTATTTGAATCAACTATAGTAGTAATCATGTGATTTGGACAGACGCGAGTCCAGCTCGCCTGGTCTGCATCTCCTCAGCTTCGCTTGCGTTGTAACTGCAACACGAAGTCCATCGCCTTTTTTGCGAGATTTCTCGACTAAAGCGTCCATGTCTTTGGGGTTGTGAAGTTTGGCATGTTTCCTGAAGCTATCTAAGCGATTCCACACCTTGTAGGCTCTCACACACCCCAAATGAGCGCACATGAAGCTTTGCCCAGCCTCATTGTGTATTGTATTGAGATGCCTTTTACGATCCGCAACATTTTTGAACTGTATTCTACATCCATCGTGATAGCACGAAAGCCTGCTGATCGAATCGTCGAGATTTTCTATCTCGGGTTCATTTGTTACATTGGAAATGGAGTCAAGGTCGATTGCAGCCCCGTTGTCAGACCAGCACGAATCGAGATCCATATCATACTGGGTGGGTAGTTTATGGGAGCTGTCCTCGAGATCAAGGCACAAGTGGCTGCCTGCGTCAACAAGCAGCTGAGTAGAATCGTGTGATCGGGACCAAGGTAGCGGTTCAGCGAATGCATTGGGCACAGGGTTATGACCATGCGCAAGCGGGTATACAGAGCTATAGTAGCTCTGATAATCGTCGAGCGGCATCGAGGATACCGAGCATGGAGTGCTGAATGGTGTGTGGTCGATTGGCGCATTGTAATATCCCGGGACATATGCAAACTGATCGTACTCGCGGAGCCCAAGAAGTGGATCGAAAGCATCGCCTATGGCCAGCGCCCTACTTGATTTCGAAGCGTCATCGCGAGCATCGAACGCACTCAACCCCGTCTGTCCTGGATATACATCCGAGGAGCATGCCGAATCTTTGTACTGGGGCCATCTCAGCCCGTCGGTATGGACCAGCTCTGCCGCCAAATCCATGCGCATCGCATCTGCATCCCAGTGTGCCTCAGGACTGTGTGTCTCGTGCTTCATGCGTGAAAAGCTCGTGGAGTCCGAGGAGGGCCATACGTGGCTGGCATTGCTCGAGTAGCAAGGATAGGCAAACGGCTCATTCGGATCGGCGGGGCTCGCTTCCTGTCGAAACGCTTCTTCCGAATATGATTGTAGGTGGTCGAAGTCCATCGCGGTTCTGTGGAGACGTAGTCAGGCGGGGATGCGGAGGCTGTGGCGGAGAGGACACCTGCTAGCCTTGGCAGCTAGATGTGCCAGGGTCCGCGGGATCGGAGCAGCGGTGCGCGTACGGTTCGGGAACTAAAGTAAAACTCCACAGGTGGGTCGAGATCGGCGAATTCTACAACGTATACAACATCTGAATAGCACCTAACACTGCACTGCATGCAAATCTGCTGCGTGCACGGTGCCCGCAAACTGGCATCTGAAATCAACGATTAAGGCAGAGATTGCAAGGTTTGGTCTGAGTCAAGTGACGTCATCGAAGAGTAAAACCGGGAAGCTGACTGCACGGGCAGTATATGACCTTTGGAGTTGGCGACACCACAGCACGTACAGTGATGAAAATACGACTGATTACAGTACATCATGATCAAATGTACTCGCGCATATAATACTGAGTCTTTAATCACTCCAATGTTACGTTATGGTGATTAACACCGTTACTGTTAAGCGCAGTTTGCCGTCCGGAACGGGGTGCGTGCAAAAGAGCTGATAAATTTTTCGCCCTCGCGATACAGTCTGAACGACGAACGTGGCGTTGGACTCGTGTAATTGTCTCGGTCAACTCGTAAGTGCAGTTTGAGTGCCTACTATGGGTGACAGGAATCATGTGCCATGTTGGCTAGGTATGTCAGCCCGACTAGCCTACCAAACAACATAATGCATTCTCCTATACAATCTTGCGCTCACAGTCAACCTTCAATCTGAGCTTCAACAAAGAAATGATTGTAGAGCGTACCAGGCGCTTATGACGCAAGACGTGGTGGTCTGCCGTCTAGCGCTAACGGCCCCGACTGGTGCCCGCTGGCGACGGTGAAGCGACTGAAAGGCCCGTGCAGCATTGGCTCGAGTCCCGGTGGGAGTGGTGGCCACTGTCTGGGCCACCACTGTCGTCCCAGCCCACCACTCGCAATCACAGCACCGCATCAGCACCTCCCGCGTTTTGCTATCCTCGTTCGCGCTTCATGTGGTGAAAAGTAATCGCACGTTCCGCCCAAACTATATTTCCAGCGTCCACTGCCCTACTTCGTGCTCAACAGCGGCTCGGGTCTCGTCGTGCATTATCCAAGATGACGCCCGGACCTCAGGCAAACGCCTCTGCGGACTTGCTAGGTAAGTCATCACCGCTATGCTCCCTCTTCTACAACAGATTGTGCTTTGACGCAGCGCCACATACTCAACAACGGCGTCCCTTGGAGAATCCAACTGTAGTGCGCGTGCCGGTGTAAACCACTGGACTGACTCGTCACAGAGGAGCCGTCAGACGGCCTCGAAGCGCAAATCGAGACGATGCTGCAAGCAACCTACAAGACAACAGAAATCCAGAGAATCGTATCGGAAATCGACTACTTGACGCGCAAATTAAACTACGATACGACGAAGCGTGACAAGGAGAGGAAAGAACAGCTAAAGCATCTGACAAAGATGTTTCATCATCTGAGGACGTCCGCTGCAATCGCATGCGAGAAAGAATATGACGGGTCTGCTGACTACTGGGCCGATTTATTCCAGAAAGTGAGCGAATTCTTCCAGGAGCCAGGCAAAATCGAGAAGTGGGGTAAGTGTCAGAATTCACGCCATCCTCACAAGTCCAATAAGTTACTAACTGTTGTCGTAGTGCGTCAACAGTACAAGCCGAGCGAGACCACTCAGAGCAAAGGCTCGCGTTCCTCCGGTGTCGACTCCTCCTCGCCTCCGACTCCACCGAGCGAAAACGGGAAGCGGCCTCCGGAGCTCGAGAGCGGCATAGTCCATGGGAAGCCCCTCCGTAACGAAACCGTGGGGTTGGATAAGAGAGGACACCTAGTGGAAGTCGAGTGTGTCAACACACAGGGTGTAGAGGCAGCGCCGCCACGCTACGCCGACTCCCTTCGGAACGATCTCGTCACAGCTAGCTATGACGAACAAGTCTGTGGCACGAGCATGACCTCAGGCGCTACTGTCAAAAGCGAGCCAGCCAATCTTCTTCAGAGTGACCGCACAATGGATACCGTCAACGCGGACACCGCTTCGCAGAGCGAGCCCGCCGAGGACCAAGGCGACGATGTCGATTTGGTCAAGGGCGTTGCCCACCTGGGCTTGTTCGGCAAGAGTGAGCCCGAAGTGGGCGGAGTCATTGGCCGCCATGCCAATGAGAACAAGCTTGTCCAGATTGAATATGGCGTGAGCGGCGCCATGCAAAATTGTGGTACTGACGCAAACTCTCACCAGGTACATCTTGGCGTCGGCAATACCACGCAAGGCGATGCTATTCAAGACGAGTGCATCCAGGACGAAGGTGTCCAGAACGAACCTAGCCGAGACAAACCTCATGGCAACAGGCTCACCGAGAGCAAACCTGTCGACAATGGACTTGCCGAGGAAGTCTCCATGACACACAATGGCCACAGAGACAAGACCGTCGAAGACATGTACAACACCAACAACACTGTTCAGACCACGTCTTCCGGGAGCGAACGCATGGTACACACTGCTGCTGGCATCATCGACATCGCTGAGGCCGAAGCACCAGCGAACGAAGCCATACACATGGAGTACGACATTTCGGGTGTAAAACTGACGGACTCCAAGTCCTCGAGTCGTTGCCCAGCCAGTGTTGAGCCTCGAGAAACCATTCCCGGATGTAGTGTCATAAAGCCCAGGCGCCTCATGGTCAGTGTCCCCCTGAGGAAACCCATCAACAGCAACGATGGACCACACATGCTCGATCTTGTCGGCTCCGCCCAAACTATGACAATGGATTACTTTGAAATCCAGAGCGGGCCAGGAACACAGTCCGATGCGATATACAGTGTTCAGAGCAGAACATCCGAAGATTTCGCTCATGGATCTGCCATCGACGATGGTAGTTGTGCCCAAAGTCAGCCTGCCGCAGCCGCATCATGGCAGGGCGAATTCGTCGATGAACCGGCCGCGCGCCATAGCAACCGTGATTTTGCTGAGTTTGGAGCCGTTGAAGATACTGTCAATCGCGAGATCTCGCAGCGCGAATCCTCAAATAGCAGCGTTCCAGACAGGGCATCTCGTCAGCTTGGGCTAGCTAGGCACGCAACGGCTGAAGCCGAGCCTGCTTCGACGAAGCTTGTTGGCAGCGACCAGCCTGGGGAACTTCGTATAACACGCCATACCATGTTGTCGGTTATTGACCCTGATCTTACGACGGATCATCTTGCAACCATGCACCCGATGTTGAGTTCAGGAGAGACTTCTCCTATATCGCCCAGGAAAGAAAGTATGTCCGATGGGGAGTTGGAGTCTGGTTTTCATGCTGGCTTCGGTCTCCGTCTTTCAAGCAGTGTGCGTCCGCTGGAGGTTTTCTGTTGGCCGAGTGACGAGGATCGCGGTCCGTACGTTGTGGTGATGTTCGAGAGGCAGCTTGGGCTGAGCGCAGCTATCATCGTCATGATCGGGTTCTCGCTCTACTTTGCCTATCTATGGTGGGTGTGAGGCTGGTATGAGAGGTGTTTTGATATCTGATGTTCCTAGATATTGTTTAGTATTGGCCTAGGCAGATGGGATCACGAAAGATGGTAGATACGACTTACGAATTATGATAATGAAACAAGGTCAAAGAAGAACGTGAGGGGCGATTTCGCGATGTAGATTTGACTCCACGCTTTGCAGCACTTTGACAAACTCAGCGCATGCCTCAATTGAGCGGGCATTCCTCGACTATTACCCATCTAGAAGATGGGGATATTCGCATAATGCATCGGAAGCTAGTCCTATTGTGGACGGGACTCGGCTGAGCTACTAGCCACTTTCGGACTGAAGACGGCTGAGCTAATGTCTGCCTTGTTGGGGCGCGCTAATGTGTCTGGTCCGAGACGCTTTGACATCGCGTCATGTCCAACCTGTGTGGCCACATGACACCCCCAAACGTCTGCCCTGTGGCTGAATGATGCGTTAGCAGGGCGTTTCCTGTTATACATCGAACCTGAAACTTCCACGTACATCTCAAAGACATCCGGTGAAGCCGGGTGCGTCTTCCGGTTGAGACACCTATGGCACGTAGCTGGGTGGCGTTCCCAAGAGGTGTATACCTAGGTAGAGAAGGTGCACCAGACGAGTTCGCACGCAAAAGTGTAGGGAAGATCTATGCAATCCGCGAGCCGGTCAGTGAGGTGGCCGGAAGCAGTACCGAGGTATTCCAGAAACCGGCGAAGAAATGAAGGTCGAGGAGCGTGTCAAGTATTTTTATCGCCAGAAAATGACCAGATCTTCATATTGTTGAATACACACTTCTCTTCCAACGCCTGTTAGGTGGGGTGAAGCAAACACATCGCATACCCTGCCCTATTATCATTGCAAGATATAAGGAAACCGATTTACAGTTATTCCATCCTACCCTAACGTACACGAGGTAAAGCACCAATCGCCAAATCGTTCACTCTTCTAGGGTTGTCTAACTCTTGAGCCGGAACATCCATTTCAGCTAATCTGAATAGCAGACCGCATATTGACTTTGGGTTGGATGCCTGCTTCTCGAACCATGCCCAGGCCGACTGCAATTTCTCTTCAAGAAACGATACATCTGCACCGGCAAGACAACGTTCGCGTTGAGAATCTCCTAGTACTGCGTTCAGCCCAGTGGTTTCAGTGTCTGTTCTATTGACCTTGGGATTGTTGAGATATATCACTGCTGCTTCCGGGCCGCCCGCAAAGGTCTGGAGGAGTATGAATGCGTCCATCATGATGCGACACTGTCGCGCAAGGTCAGGCTTCTCATTCAGTTGGCGTTCCGGAAGCAGGTGTTCAATAATGCAAAACGTTGTCAAGAATTGAGAATTAATGGGAATGATGGGTCTGAACCTTCGCAGTCTCTCCTGGAGTTTCGTCTCCGGAGCCAGTGGATATTGAAGGTCCTTGAGTTCGTTACGCACGGCCAAGCCGAAATTCTTGTCAACCTTCTTCAGAAACCGGAACAGAATATCAGCCGCAGGCGGAGAAAAGTGCTCCCAATGAGTGACAGTGTTGTTGTCGGTGTCGTTCCGCTCGAGAATGTCGGATTGTCGCAGGAAGTTGTTGAACTGGTCGACATGTTCCCACGGTTCAACTGTTCTCTTAGTCACTGACTCGCGGAATTGCTCAAGAAGGAGGTCGCCCGATACGATCAAGCCGTTGAGAGCATCGAGAATCCGCTGCTCCGCAATCGTAGGGCGACCGTATGCGTGCGTCTTGTACAGAACGTCATGGCCAGCTTCAGCCCAAGCATGTCCAAGAGCTGAAACAACTTGAATCTCGATCCGATCGCCCCTGCTGTAACGGTATCCCCGTGTCGCATATTTCTCTGGCATGGGAGTCCGATAGTGATCTGCCTGATAACCAAGGTGCCGTTGAACGTAGATGTTGCGAGCACCATCCTTCTTCTTCATGGGCCTCGAATCAACATGTGGTTTTTCATCGATGGTGGTGCCCCAGATGTCAATGAGGATCTCTTTCACCTTCTGACGTTGAGCCTGGTTAGGTGTGTAGAGTACCACTCTCACACCAGCCAGGTCTACCAGATCGTCATTTATCTCGGCTACACTTTGATAAGCCTTTTTGCCTTCTTCCTCTTTTCGCTGCCAGTTGCGCAACTTGAGCTTCTCAAATACGCTTCTGTTCTCTTTAGCTCGCGAAGTTACCTTAGCAAGTATTTCTTCTTTGTTCACGTCTCTCGCGTCCACAAGTTTCTCCTCAATCAGACTTTTCGCTCTCTCGGCGCATGCCTCCCAGTGCTCGCGTTGCTTGGAGTATCCTTCAACAAATTCATCGATGACATCCGATGAATCATCCCAAGTCTCTACACGTTGAACTAACTGAGCGAATCCAGGGTCTTCCGAAGAGTCTGAGGTCCGCTCGGGTAGATAGAATGACTGCTCGCCAAATTTACCCGTCATGACTGGGGAGAGTTGACGGTCGATAATACAGTTTTAGGGCACGCAATAACTTTGAACCATTAGCAAACCTTCAATCTCGCATGCGTAGAGAACGAATCTCATGAAACTACTAGGAGAGACTTAACATACTGGAATGGAACGGTGTAAGATTTCGAATCACAGATATCGGCTAACCGAAGTTACGTCAAGAATCTGAAAGGATTGGAATCGCGACAAAAGCTGAAAGCCTCGGCATAGACAGGAACAGAATTTGGTATATGAACATTTGGGCGCGGTGCACAAGGAGTTTATATGCATCTTTAGAGACATTCACAAGGTGCATCAGGCTGGCGGGTTGATGGAAGTCAAACTGGATGAACAAGGCTGAGATTCAGGCGCCCAGCGTTGGTGTGGGGGCCTGCCGAACCGGCGCGTCGCGACTGCGCAGTCTGCAAGCTCACAGTAGCACACGCAGCCTTGCAGCCAAAGTTGTGAATTTAGCTACTTGCGGCCAAATCAACCCCTTCGTCTTGCCCTCTCTTTGCCCTTTTTTGCCTTCTTCTTGCGTCTGCACCCTCGACGTAGCAGGCGTCTTCTCGTGTGCATATGACCGGTCTGCAGCCTGCAGCACAAAGACACGTTGTGCCCCGCGGGGCGCACACATGGGCAGCCACGCGCCGCCAAGGGTAACGTCCTTCACCTTCGGATTCCCTCAGCCTGATGACATCGCGAAACACCAAAGTCGCTCAGTTGAGCCGCATATCTGTTGTTATTGCATCAAAATTCGTTCCGTAGGTGCTCAACACAAACCATGTATTCAGATCCCGTACGCGCTATATCACCAAGTTATCGAAGGACTGGCGAGAGTTCATACAGCGTGCTGCATCCATATGCGCGATACATCCAAGAGCTATGCTCGAGAAATCCTTCACTGAGAACTCTCCATTCGTTCCTGATAAATCCAAACGCGCGTACCCACGGATGTCGTGCGACTGCTCTCGATTTTCGACATGGCACATCCGTCCCCAAATCTCGCCCGATTTACAATATGGATCATCTAATTTATGAGATAAGGCTGAAGACGCCATTCAGTACGGGAAAAGAACACCCTGGAGCTGATTGCCAACTTCATGGACGAATTCTGATAATCGAGGATTTGACAGCTGAGATAATTCAGTTGCTGGGTTCGGAGCTCGACGTTGATCCGTTGTTCCTTGCTACACATCTACACACTGTACACAGGACAGGAATGCGCCACCAAACACCCGACGATGCCACCTTGCCATCTCGCCTCCGTGGTAGGGACTACATCAATGTTTCATACCACCAACCGGTGTCCTCTGACGTCTCATACCCTTCTGGAAGCAGGTTCTCTCTGAATACGGCGATCGACCGGAAGTTGGTGTTTCTTCGCGCCACAAAGATCGGACTTGTGCAACATCGTGTCTCGATCATCAAGCTTCGCCAAAGCTCTGGTTTTTGGTTAAGTGAGTTATCTAGTCTAATATTTTCTGTCGCCACAGCTGACATGCTAAGGCTTGGTTCTGGTCGACCCGCCGCTTGGCGATACGTACTTTCGAGAGGGATACAAGGGTGAATCCGAGTACAAAGTCCATTTGCGTCTAAGACCTTATTTGGGGACGTATGAGAATTTCATGGAGTTTCCAAAATTCTCAGAAGCCCGGCACCAGCAAGAGAACAATACGCGACTCAGCATGATGGATGATATGGTTCACTACTGGGAGACCGAAGCACCCGCCTGTTTTGATTCCGCCGATCCCTCAATTCAAAGTCTAGCGTACTATCCCATGCGGATTGTTGCAGCCGAGTGGGTCAAATACATCGCAGTAATGCAGCATAGCATCAAGCTGTACGAGTATGAGGGCAGTCATCTGGACCTTAACAAATTCAACATGGACATTCGGGAGCTTCAAGGCTGGCGTAGACGGAGCATGATGTCACTGAAAAAGGTCGGAGTAGTCATTCGCCACCTCAAGTCACACACGTCATCAACACAGAGCCACACTGCTTCAGTCGCCAACATTCTAGAGGACTACGTAGTCATCAGCGAGGACATCGAGAACGCCGGACGCAGACTAGAGAACATGTTGCCAGTAGTAACTTCTTTGGTCCAAATAATCGACGCGCGACAGTCCTTTGCCGAAACCGCAAACATCAGTCGCTTGACTATTCTTGCCCTGGTCTTCGTCCCGCTAAGCTTCGTTTCAAGCTTGTTCAGCATGAATTCTGAGAACGTACCAGGAAGCGAACACTTCTGGGTATATTTTGCCGTCGCAATCCCCGTTACTGCTGTCGTCTTCTTGATCGCCCGGCCGCCAACTCGAGCAGAATTGCGCAAAACTTCGACGTGGCTAAGTGGGTTGTTTAGAAGGAAGCCACGGTTACCTAGAATCTTGGCCAACACTCCAAATAGTGTGGAAATGGGCTGAGGGAATAGCCCGAGTCAAAGGCGCACTCTTTTGTTTTCGGAGAGAATTGGAAGCATGTAAGGGCGAACCGGTTGAGATGTAAACTTCGTGCCAAGTAGCATCGGCACCTTGCGATTTGTGGCCATACATCGCGAATCTTGAGCCTACGTGCGTTTGGCTGAGGTTGACATTACGAAGAGTCAATCTATCGTTCTATCCAGTTCTTTCCAGTAAATTGATCCCACTTGGTTTTACGGCACTTGAGCTCCCTGGATGTCAAACATTCTCTACGTTGTAAGCCCAGCACACGCGACCATGTCGCCATTAACACGAATTGCACTGGCGGATTGATAGGACAGCTCGATAGAAATGAACCACATATTTGCAATGTAATGCTTCGTCAAGAGCATGTGTACATCGAGAGCACGTTGTACATACGATCGTTCGCGCAGCCAGCGACGCTGCTTCCTCCGAGCCCCCCATCATGGGCCGAGGTTATATGTTAACATTTTACTCATTCTTCCACATACGACCATAGGATCATGAAAATTAGGCTTCCCGTCCGCTCAGCCATATACAAGCATGATACCGGCGGATTAGTAGTTAGGTGGGTGACCACTAGCGAATCCCCGCTGTTGTATGTTTTTTGCCAAAAAGTCAGAATCTTCTTTTTGCCGATCACATGGTGAGAGACGGTTGAACGTCTGACTGAGCGATTCAACGCTCGTTGGACTAAGGTGGGTGTCAAGAGGAGAGCGTTGCTAAGCGGCGACGTCACGTTTTTATTGGGAGACAATGCGCCTTGAGGCTGTCACGAAGCGCGTGCAGCTTCATCTACTTGACATGTGAGCAAAAACAAGGGTATCTCTGCTGAATACAATTGCACGACGTCAGCCTAATTGGTGGGTGAGACTGAGTAGATATCACGTTGCTTAAGAGTGCAGCTTCGTCAACCACCAGCAACACAACGACGCGATGAAGTAAACAATACGATTAATATCTATCAACAACTACATTTAAGCCGCAGTCCCATTCCCCACAACCGTCCCATTCACACCCCCACTACTAAAGTACGCGCAATGAATCAAATACCTCGACGTCTCCGCACTAAACCCCTCCAACGCAACAGCATCGATCTTGCCCAACGAGAAAGCGCCATTATTCATCTTCGTGTAATCGCTCAGCGGGATCCTCAGCACCACCGGACTGCCGTTCATACTGCCATACGCCGCCGTCGCAACACTAAGACGCTGTATCGCCGTCTGGCCATCGCAGCCAAACCCGCCGCTCTGCAACTGCACGTTGAAGCTCGCGCCTGCACTCGCCGTCACGTTGAGAACGAGGTATTGGGACGCGGAGACGTCGGCGCAGTTTTGCAGCGAGTACCAGTATGAGCCTGATACGCTGGGTTGGAGGACTAAAGCGCCGTCGGTGACGACGGGTGCGACTTCCATGGTGCCGTCGTCGCTTTGGACGTAGCCGTTGTTGTTGCGGTTTGCGACGCCGGGTGTGCAGTAGTTCAGCCATGCGTCGTCGGGGCAGTTGCATGTTTGAAGGGAGGGCGTGGCTGCGACGTTGATCAGACTGATACATCCGACTTTGACGGCGACGTCGGAGGGGTTGAACGCTGAGAGTGCGACGCTGTCGAGTCTGCTGATGTTCATGCCGGAGAAGTCGGCAAAGGGGATCTGTGCGACTTGGTAGGCGTCGGCGCTGGTGAATGTGACGAAGGAGGTTATGGGGACGGAGGACGGGGGCGAGAGTGTAGTGCATTCGTCGTCGGTCTTCCAGCGCATCGTGACCCGGAATGTGGTTCCTGCGGGAGCGGCGACGGAAAGTTGGATGCCCGTTGCGTTTAGCGTGTTCGCGTTGTAGCATCCGCTGTTGTCGAATTGGGAGTACCAGTATGAGCCGCTTGTAGAACCCAAGACGAGCGAGCCGTCGCCGTCAACAGAGTATGAAGCGAGAGATCCTTCGTCGGTCATCTGGCCGAGGAGTCGGTTGACGCGCGGGACTTCGGGCACGAATGTGCAGGTGTTCAGAATAGTGCCTGAGCAGAGCGCGCAACCGGGGCTATCTGCCGGTCCTGTGAAGACCAGGGAGTGGATGCGATACGTCGAGCCAGGGGAGTTGAAGTTCGTCATGACGAATGACTGGAGGTATTCCTGGTTGAAAGTAGCTGGGAAGCGAGAGAATGGAATCGTGAGCTGTGTCGACGCGGCGTTGAATGTGATCGGAACGTAAGACGTGACTACGTTGGTGCTGCAACCATCAGTGCCATATCTGAAACCGATGTTCGCGGTTGCATCTTGCGGGCCGGAAACGGTCAGGATGATCGCGTCGTAAGAGCTGTTCACCGCTCTGCATTCGGAAGGCTTTGCGAGCAGCGAGTAGAAGTAAGATGTCGCGTCTTTGGGTACAAGGTCGACGTATCCGCGGCTAGTCTGCTTGTACGATTGCATCGTTCGGTCGTCAGAGATAGCCGCGCCTAAAGCATTGGTCTGCGTCTTGAACTCGTTCGGGTCGCAGAAGTTCAGCACAACAAATCCGGTTGGAGCTGGGCAACGTGGGCCAGCGCCAATCGTGGAAGGTCCACCCAGAAGAGAAATCCATCGCATTGTGAAGTTGCTGGTTGCGGAACCGCCATTGGGCGTAAAGTTACGTAGTGTGATACGGCTGACCGAGTCGGTGTTGATACCCGAGAATGCCGTGAGGGGAATAGTGATGTTGGAGAAATCATCCTGGCCTAAAGTGGCGTAAGACCTGGTGTTGACAGTGGTAGTCTTGCCATCGCCTGAGCTTAATACCACATCGAAAGACCCACCGGACGGGCCGCGCGCGTTCAAAGAAACTCCAGTGTATGCAGTAGCGTTCAAGGTAGCTCCGTCGACCATAGTGTCTGTATAGAAGAAGGAGTCTGCGCTCGACGGCAGCAACTGCATTCTGCCTAACTCAGAAAGCTTCGCGAACGTCATCGAGTTGTTGTAGTCGGTCTGACCAAAGATGTTGTTGATACCAGTGATCCATCGGTCTACGTTTTGGAACGACTCAATTGCGAGACCTGGGGTACGGTCCTCTCCTGGTGCTGTTACACATCGCTTCTGGATCTTGAGGTTGTCGATGTAGATGGGTGTCTGTGCTGGCGAGATGTTTCCGATGCGTATTCCGCGCACATGCTTCATCTCTTGTCCCTTGAAGTCGGCTAATGGAATGGTGACAGTATGATTCGAGCCATCGGCAGGGGCGTATCGGGTAACGTCCAAGTATGTCGCACTTGGCTGTTCGAAGTTGCATCCAGTGTCGTACGAAACGAGCTGCACGTAGAAAGTGCTTCCTTGAGGAGCAACCATATCGAAGTACAAATGGGTGTAGACGGTGGCATCGAAGCAGAAGCGTGAGATCTCGGTGTAGTACGAGTTGACGCCGCTGTTCGTGGTCGCGGTAAGCTGCAAGGTACCATCGACATTGTTCGACGAAAGTCCAGTCGCAGCCGTTTGCAAGAGGAGTAGATTGACGTTGTTGCTGCCAAAGTAGAGTTCGAGGAAGTCGTCAATCATCACATCCCATGCTATGCACTCCGTATCTCCAATCGGCTTTGGTGTGAAGTCAGGGCATGTAGAGGCAGTTGCGTTGCTGGCCCCGACAGCGAAGTTGAGGGTGTAAAGTCCCTTTGCCGTGTTTCGCAGTACGACCGCGTTCGTGGTCTTGTCGTATGAGGGTTGCTGGCAGACCGAGAGAGAGCCCGAGGCAGATTGTATGGCATAATTGCTTGGAACTTGTAGAGTAAGTCCTTCCGTGCGGCCGTCCAAGCGGACTGTCATCACTGCGGATGAGTTGTCCGCTGCGGTGATGTCTACAATCGCGCGATCTCGGTTGGTCCACCAGTTTGCCATACCTGTCTGGTTGAAGAAGACTGCATAAGGACGTACCCTATCATGGAGCGCGCGCTGAATCTGGATCTTATCGAACAGGGCGTCTGAGGGATGGATCAAGATGTTGTAGTGACCTCCATACCGTGCCATCTTCTCAATGTACTTGATCTGGTTCGCAAAGTCTGAGCCCGGGAAGTCCGCGCTGCTCATATTGCCGTCACCATCAGACCACTGGAGTGGGAACTCGTAGTAAGGAAGCTCCTGGAACGACTCGCGGTTATGCGTGACCTGGAAAGGAAGATGGGTTAGGTGCGAATTGCCTGCGCATGAAGAGCCGCCGATAATGCCGTTGGCGACGCAATGCGTGGCTTGGTACTTGCTCCAAGCAAGGTTACCAGGACGGTAGGTAGTCATGTTGTAACCGGTCTTAAACTTATCATGGAGTATGTGTCGGATCAACCAAGCACTCACACGAACCTCTCCCGATGCGGAAGCACCTGATGTGTAGAAAGAGAGTCCACTGGTACCTCCCTTGGTGCAGACCTCTCCATTGGTGGGTGTACCGTCAGCATTGGGACCGCACTGGTGGATAACCGGGTAGTAACCGGCATCAGTTCCTTCAATGAACCGCTCTTGAAGTGTACCATAGTCGAAGCCCGCCGCGTTGGGCGAGTGACTGACTGTGTGGCTACCAAAGTCGATGAACGGGTTTCCATCAGGAGCAGTTCGAAATCCACTGATCTGGTAGATATAGGGAACGCCATACTGGAAGTACGCGGTCTCGTAAGCATCGGTGATGTACTTGGTATGAAGGTTCAAGTTGCCCGCGGCACCTCGATCTTGTGCAGCAGCCGCAATACCCTGGCCATGTGGATACGAGACGTAGGTGTCGATATCCCAGGTAGTGGTGAAGGCGAGTCCTTTGTTGTAAGGAACAGACCACAGGCTCACGAAATGAGGACTGGTGGTGACAATGTTCTTGATGACGCGGGTTCCAATGTCATATCCGGGGTAGTAGTGTCCGTCATACCATGGCGAATACCCACCGGCCTCAGCTTGAGCCTGAATGTACAAGTATCCAAGGTCCATACCGAAGCTGTACACGTATCCACTGGCGCCCGACGGCTGGTGCTTGACGATCGCTGCGCTTGTAGCGGATGTATCTGCGCTGTCGACACCATCATTACGGACCAGGTATTTTCCGATCGTTTGAGAGCCGTTGATAGGTGTATAACCAACATTGATCAGACCAGTCTCGGTGTAATTCTCAAAGAATGGCATGTTGACATCGTAGTACTCGGTAAAGTCGAAACCTTGGAGAGCTTGCGTCGGTGTCTCAGTATTCGTCAACTGCAGGACGGATCTGGCACCACTCGTATCTACGGTTGACGCAGAAACACCGGCCAGAGCCTGGAGAGCGGTAGGTACTTGATTCATGAAGATTAGCCTTCCACCCTTCGCCACGAAAGAGGTCAAGGTCGTGACATCCGCAGAGCTCGGGCTGTAGCTCACGCTCGGAGAGGTGTAGATGAGTAGATTCCGGCATTGTGACGAGATGTTGAGCGACTGGATGACCTTGACTTGCAAACCGACTGTCTTGAGAGACAGTGTCAGAGGAAGCCTGGACTGGTGTTAACGATTGCACATGTGCGTGTCTGGTGAGAAGGGATTTACCAGTTGGGGTCTGCTTTATAGCTCGGTAGAAAGATGTTTAGCCCAGAGTCCGGCCCAGCTGCGTGCCTGTCATTGACAAGTTAGTGAAGAGACATCATGCCATTTCCTTGATCTCCTTACCTTGATTGCGATGGTACAGTAGCTGGCTGACTATCTTCACCCAAATCTGGACTCGCACCTCCAGGCTGCGTGAGCTTGTAAATATCCGGCGAACTGAAAGCCTGACATATCTGCAATATAGCAAACAACGGAATCAGAAAGAATGAACGCATACTTGATGCTTCCCTTGGAAAGAGAGGGGTAAGAATTCGCAGAAGGACGTAACGAAGAACAGAAAAGTGCAGAACCCGACCTTTTGGTCAAGTTCCCAAATCGAGAAACCGACTAGAAGCACGGGAGAAATCGCCTTATCCGAGCCCGAATACCCAAATTGCTAGCCATGCTGGTCTAAGGCCGCAAACTTCATCAGGGCGCGAAATCTGGGAGAAATTCGTCAACCTATCCACTTAGGGTTGTTCTAGCAGGGCACCAACAAGCGACTACGGCACCATGATCGCCGGTACCTGCGCTATTAGCATGCATCTAGGGTAGGAACTCGTGTTCATTGAGTTTGGCGTGGCCCCAAAGTCCGCACAGACGCTGCATCTCCATAAATAACGAGTTCTTCCTGTAGGCCGAGGCGCCGGTTTCAGATTTGGCAGCGGGAGCAACGATGATGCGTCGAGGCGTCATGGCGAAGAGGCGAACACGATCGGTTTGGTCGTGGTTGAGATACCCTTATGACAAAAAGGAGAGGTTGGGTAGAGTATTGACTGCTTGAGTAGCGCTTACTAGCACCGATGCGTACTTACGTCATTTTGGAACCTTCGCGCCCGAAAAAGGAAGTAACAGGCCTGGCTCCTTCCTACATGTCCATACGAACAAATCTCGAGATACGACGTAGTTGCACTCGCTGCATTGCCACAGTCTAGCTGGAAGTCGAGAAGCTATGTCGAAGATGAAACGAGGGTACCGCTTCGGCTCAGCCGGCTTCCCGTTTTTCACGGGAGTCCAGGCCCGTGGATACGATCGGGACTTTGGAAGATGCGCACAAGACAATGTCTCGAACGCAATCTGGCGGCATTCTCGCGTGGGTACACATCAGTCATGAAGCTTGTTGCTACTGAAGGGTCGCTTCGTCGCCCAAGGACTGCATGCCGTTCGGTACCTAGCGATATAGGTAGCACCCGACTACCTAGGTACCGAAGAAGTCGGCTCCAACATGTCAGGCGGCGAACTCAATGTCAAATTACTACCCCAATAATATACAACCTTTGAAATTGAGAAAAGTCAACATTAAGGTGTTCACGTCAGCACCAAACCTTGGAAGGTGCGGATACATCTACACGTGACATCAACCCGATGCCAAGCCGCCAATCGCCCTGCCTCGCGTGCCCGTCGCGTGTGTCCAACTGCAACGCCATGCAGACCCCACAAGCAATGCAACCCCACTACCACCTCACAGTAGTCGATGACCTCGCTACCACTGCATACACATATTGGTTACCGATTCGAGAGATCTTGAGAGATACCTCGTCGCACAGCCATGTCTGCAGCGCATGCAGTGGCGCAACCCGATCCTACCTCAGTACTTCTACCACCTGCGTCTATTCCAGCCCGAACCAAGTCCCCAACGCGCAACCTGATAAACTGTAGCCCGTCGACTCGGGTGCAAACCGCGAATCTGGAAGCGACATCCAACCACCTCAGAAGACCTGATCGTAGCGCTGCGACTGCGAACCTGTGGGCGCCCACAGCCTCCCTACCTCGCTCCCGAAGCATGAGACATCCGCACGCGCATTATACACTGTAGATCAAGGGGATGGGTTGCATAAAATTGGTGTGGCTGGGAACACTACGTGGCAGTACTGAGCGCAGTTCCGGGCCTAGATGACGGATCACCATGCTGCTCCGTATCTTACGCACCCTGCATACTCGCTGCTAGAGGAGCTCACAATGAGTACTCTGAACCAATAGACTTGTGCAGAGCGTTAGAAACGCCGAGCCATCCCCCAAACTCTGATGCCAACGCAGATTTGCCAGCGCGCTCTCATGAGAATGCTTCCATTAGAGACGGATAGACACACTACTTCGAGTCCCCCTCCCCTTGAGACTTAAGCGTCGAAAGAAATCAGATTACTACACTAACCCACCTACGGCTTACTCAACTGCTCCTTCCTAAAAAACTTAAAGAACCCCAACGGAACCACCAACTGCGCCGCTAACCCAATCCAGAACCACGGCTTACTCAACCCTGCCACCACTCCCGCCGAGAAATCCGGAAACACATCTCCAGGCCCATTCGCATTCGGCGCGGTAGCCTTCGCCAGCATCGTAACGAGCGTACCGAGAATCTGGGCTAGGACAAGCGACACCGCGATGTGAATCCGAGTGAGAGTCTGCAGGAGCATCATACCAAACCCCACACCCTGAATCGCGTCGAGAAGCCCAAGCCAGAGCCACAGACTACGGCCGGCGAGCGCGCCGGCGACGGGACCGCCCGGCATCCAGGGGACCCAGTTGCCGATGCCGGAGACGCCCCAGAGCATTTGGGCCCAGCGGGGTGCGCCGAGGCCGATGGCGAAGATGGGTAGGAACCAGGAGTGGCTGCCGCTCAGTTTGGCGAAGAGGAAGAGGAAGGCTGCCCAGATTACAACGAAAAAGGCCAGGACGAGCAGGCCGATCGCCCACTGTGGGGCTGCGTGGGAAGACCAGAGGTACGCCCAGCTGCGTCCGTAGGGTGTGCTGAGGAAGTAGTTTTGTAGGATGATCATGACGAAAAACCAGCCTACGAGCTTCCGTCGGAGGAGTGTTTTGTAGAAGGAGGGGATCTTGCCTGGGGACTGGTGGTAGTATGATGGTAGGGATGTGATGAGGAGAGCTCCGATGGTGAACATCAAACCGGCTATTGGAAGCGTGATCATTGCGGCCTTGGGCGAAGAGGTAAGCGCATTGCTTGCGTCGGAATTCGCGAGCGTGCTTCCCCAGTAGAAGAGTGCTGTGATGTAGAGTTGCTGCGTTCCCTGGATCATACAAGCGCGGAAGATCCAGGATTTGATGGGCGCACCACCTAGATGAGTCAGTACGATATATGTCGAGGAGAGAATTTGGAGCTCACCTTCATCACCAAAATTCAACGCAAAGAATATCGAGCCACTAGCCGAAGCAGACACATACAACCCAGTCGCAACATTCTGCACCCAGTCTCTCGCCACCCCGAACTCCGCAAACGGCGCAACACCCACGAACAGGAAAGCAGCACCATATACTGCGAAGGGAGCGGAGAGAACAAATTTCGATGGCAGCGTGCGAAACATGACCCACCAAACACACGACATGACGATGAAGATCGCACCAACAATATACAGTTTCTCCGGACCCTGGCCTTGAGGCCCAGTCAGAAGAGTAATCTGATACGAGTTCGCCGCCATAATCTGCCCGAGCGCAAGGAGAATGGAGTAAATGGGCCAATCGCCGATTCGCGTTTGCAACCAGCGCTTCAGCAGCGACGGGCGCTGATAGTTCGCACCGAGAAGGAATTCGTCCACCTCGCCCGAGGGCCGTGGCGAAGCTTCTTCGCTATCATTCTCGCTTTCCTGCATGGACGGGGACTGGTAGTGCGAGTAACTCGAACTCCGACTGCCGTTACTGTGCAGACTCTCGCGGGGCCACGCAGGACGCGCACTGATACCCAGACCCGCTCGGCTGTCTTGAGAATGCGCGCGATCGCCGCGACCCAGTCTCTCTGCGCGCATCCGCTTGAACCATTCTTTTTCGCTGTCGACGAGGAATTGCTCGACGCAGAGGTCGTTTTCGGAGGTCTTGCCGCTGAGGCTGCTGAGCATGGATTCGAATTTGGTGTAGTATACGCCGGTCTTGTCTTCGAATGTTGGGTCTACTTTCTGTAGGCTGAAATCGGTTGTGCTGGCGTTCTTGATGGTGCTTAGGTCGAGAGCAGAAGATCGGTTGCGTCGGTGATGCGATGATCGCACGCGCATTGGGAGGCTACTTGGGTCCAGGAGGCCACTTGTGGGTGGCGATCTTATCAGCATGTCGTCGGTCTCGTCGTCTGCGAGCGGGCTGCGAGATCTGCCGCGTCCCCGATAACTTGTGTCGATAGGTGGCGAATCCAGTCCGTAAGCGCCCGCAGAGTTGCCTTCGAGAGCTGCTACGGCAAGCCGGCGCTCAGACTCGCGATAGTCGGCTTCTGCTTGCTCGCGGCTGATGAACATCTCCTGGTCGTGCAGAGACCCTTGGCTCGACGTTATCGCGCCTTCTGGGTCATACTCATGGATGTCTGGTGTTCTGGACGGTGAGCGCCGCTTGTGAACCTGTGTGATGGCATCACCAGAGGGATTCATCCTTGTTTCGTGTCCAGGCCCAGAACGTACACCGAGTGAGAGACCACGGTGAAGGTTCGTGTGGGTGTTCCCAGAGTATTGGACTTCAACGTCGTCTTCCACTGGCCTTTGCTCGTAATTCGATAGCCTGTCCGTACTGACAGCTCGAGACTGAGGCGGGAAAAAGCTTTCATCAGGGAACTGCAGCGACGTCTGTGAAGCCGCAGCCCGTGAACGCGGACGGAAGATACCCTTGGATGCCGAGTCCTTCTTCTCGTTGTGGATCTTAATGGCAGTCTGCTGGAGGGTGTTGAGATCTTCCACCCACTTCGCGACTGGAAACCGCTGTTTTGCGGATCTTGCTCTCATGATCGCCCTTGTCTCGGTCTTGGACTCTAGGGCGTCTTCGATGGCTGACTTGAACTGGTGGAGCATGTGTTTGGTGGTTGTTGATTCGACCGTAAACCACCATCCAGGCATCTGGCCAAGACCGCCGACGCGAGCACCCACACCAAGCGCTCCTTTCCTACCGAACTCGACAGCGACTAGACCGAAGGGCTCATCGCGGGAAGGGATCAGGGCGAACTCAGCGCCCGTGAAGATGAAAGGCGGAAGTGCAGTGAACTCGGGTTTGGAGAACACGCGCCTGGGGTACTTCTCCATCATCTTTCCGAGCTTGAGAGCTGCGAACTTTCCGTAGAGGTCGATGACGGGACCTATGCAGATGAGCTGCACATTGGAGTGCTTCTCGAGAACGGCAGGGAAGACATCGGCGATAAGATCGACACCCTTCTGGTTACTCCACCGCCCAACGAACACAAAAAGCTCAGCATTAGGGTCCTCATCCAAACTAGCCCACTGCTGAGCCTGAATTCTCAAATCCCCACGACTAG